TCTCTTCTCCTCTCACACACACCACCACTCACACGCACACACACACACCATATCTATATATATATATATTATATATATATATATATATATATATATTATTATATATATGCTCGCAGCGCGTTCACAGAACAACGGCTGCATCATCAGGCAAAAGAACACATGCACACAGTGCACACCATAATGGTTTAAAACACGCGCATGAGGCAAATCAATTGAACATAACACACAAGCACATGCAATGACATGTAATCCTCCCCTCAATGCTACAGACATATTTGATGTTATCACAATATGCAATGCATTTAATGGAGCCATACTATTTAGCGCTAAACGGTTTTTTTAATGCATACAGATCTCCAATCAAGCGAAGACCATGTCTTGCCCATGATACTAAAATTGACAGCCAAACTGGGGTATCACGTGTTTATGAATGCTCTCGTGTGGGGAGAGATCGGGCTTTGCAGACAATTTTCCCATCCAGATAGATTTACCCAAATGCTCCTGAATGCGACTGAGCAAGTTACGAAGTGTAGAAACAATGTAGGCTGCCCCACACAACGACCAACAGAGCTCGTATGCAACAGTCGATTGGGAGCAGCTACGTAATGCATCCGATGCTCTGAAGCACGAGCCTGATAGGAAGGAATTCACGAGAATATCTTCTGAGTATTAAAAATGGATAGGATTGCGATAGAACGCTGATCAACTCGAGAACTCGTGAAACTCGTCCCAAGCTTATATAAGGTGCTTGAGTTGGCGAACGCAATCTTTATATATATATATATATATATATATATATATTATATATAGTATATGTGTGTTGTGTGTGTGTGTGCGTGTGTGGTGTGTGGCGTGTGTGTGTGTGTGTGTGTGTGTGTGTGTGTGTGTTGTGTGTGTGTGTGTGTGTGTGTGGTGTGTGTGTGTGTGTGTGTGTGGTGCTGTTGTGTGTGTGTGTGTGTGTGTGTGATGTGTGTGTGTGTGTGTGTGTGTGTGTCTCTGCTGTGTGTCGTGTGGTGTGTGCTGTGTGTGTGTGTGTGTGTATGTATATAAGCTAGCACCGTCGTGTATGCCATACCTCGTTCCTACCCACACCACGAGGCCTGGTGGGGGGGGGCATCATCGTACCTCCTACACTGTGTCAGCACACTTGTCAACAGACCCGTGTGAAATAGGCGGGGAGCTACTTGGTTCGAGTCTCAGCATGATTATACGCTGCTTTGGGCTTTTGCGAAAGTAAGGTTATGATCATCTTAGCATGTAATGTTAGGACAATCATTAGACTGCAACTATTGCTTGTTTCGGTCTTGTCTTGAGGGTATAATAGAAAAAGTGGGTCGTCTTCCTTGCACACTCTGCATTTTAACGCACTTTTAACACGCCGCCCGGTGGCAGGCTAAATACCCGTCGTTCGGGTGGGGGGTCAACTTGACCCCGCTGAGATCTCGGGACTAAAACAGCTAGAACACCAAATTTACAGGGTGTGTGTGGACCTGTACGTGAAA